CAGCAGGACACAGGGATGATAAGTGGATTACAGAAATGACCACTCAAGGGGAAAGGCTGGAGAGCTGTGTTGGAAAACACTGGTCTTGGAGTGCCTGATCACTGCTTCCCCACCCAGAGACAGAAAACTAGTGTGTCCCAGCAACCACGCTGTGGCCCTGGGTAGACCCACACTGGGCTGCATCCCTGTCTCCATCTCTCACCAGTATCCACTGCCTTTCCCAACATCCCACACTGTGAAGGTCCTCATGTGGCAATCTTTCCAGCTGGAGGTTAATTTTTAAAAAAAGAAAAAACAACAACAAAAAAGCAGAGTTACCAAACAGATGGTTCATGCATTAGCTTCATTACAGATGGGGTTTGATGGAAGAGAATATGCCTAAATCCAGGACTCCCAGAGCCACCTGGCAGGCAGAGCACTAGGCAGCTGGACTCTCACTCCTGGAGAGAAGGGAAGCTTTAGTATTTCACTTACTTGGAGTGGAGCAGGAAGCTTCAGAAGCGAGAGATTGAGGCAAATGTCTTTGAAGATGCAATAAAATGTGAGCACTGTGTATTTTCTGGTGATGAGATCCAGGGCAGGTAAGCAAGATATCAGTATGCTTCATCTCATGGAGTTAACGCCTTTCCTTTTAGCAAAAGGTAAAGAGAAGTGCTTCTCTGTCTGTCACCACTTTCCTGCTGCTGCTGGGAAAGGTAATTTTTTAAGGTAAGACTATGTACTTTTGTTCAACCAGGTAAATGTGTTTGTTTTTTTATATAGCTGAGGTTTGCTCTTGTGCTACTGGGGGCTTAGGGATTTCCTAATACTGGAATTGCTTGATAAATGATGGGAGCTTGGCCTTTCTTCCAAAGTACCTATCTGGCAAAAGCTATCAGAAACTCAGCTAAAGAAAATCCCTCATTATTAGCTTGAGTGGGTTTTAGGTCCATTGCAAGCATTCCCCTGTTTGTGAGAGGTCCACAGCAACAAGTCACTTTAAGGGTCAAGACACTTTCAAATGGAAGAAAAGACAAGGACACTATTTTGGAGGCTCTTGTGACAGACTACACTCGTAATGCACTTTTATTTTTGGTGTAAGAATATCTTCTTTTAAAGCACAGTGGTGCACAATTACAAAATAGTATGTCCTTCTGAAAATAAGGCAGATTTTTGTATGAGCAGCTTCAGGCTGGAGAGCTTAATGGGACAGTTTCCTTGCAGCCAGGCTTGGGGAAGGAAGGGTGGTGACACACGGAAGGTAAAGCTTGAGCATTTGAAGCCAACTTTGTTTAAAAACCTAAACATGATCATTCACATCGTTACTTACAAACACTTCTCATGGTCAGTATGACACTCATTTAATGCATCCAGAGGCTAAAGTATCTAGATTTTCCTACAGAGAAATGGGTAATTTTTGATGTCTTCATTTTGTACGTAAAACCAATAGACCCAGATCAGAATGGTCACATTTGAATGGATTTTATTTCATAATGGGATCCACAGACCAC